CCCTCCCTATCTCTCTCTCTCTCCTCCTCTCCCTCTCCTTCTCCCTCTCTCTCTCAACCTCTCCCTCTCCCTCTCTCTCTCTCTCATCCTCTCCCTCTACCTCTTCCTCCCCCTCTCCCTCGCGCTACTTTTATGTTCAAGGCAAATTACAATATCCAATTATACAGTGTAGGTTAAGACATGCAATATCCACATACGTAATGTTCATGCCCTGACTACAATTCTCGCATAATGTAGCAGGCATGTAAATAAATTGCTTAAAATAAATGCCCTGCTTCGTTTACATTTTTCTAACATCAATGGGAGACAAAATAAATGCCCTTCTTCTTCACTTCCGTAACATAAATGGGAGACTGATGCCTTTCATAATCCAGTAACCTAAAACCTGCAACATCAACTCCATAACTCCCCGGCAGTGCAATGACCAGCAACAACGACCGCCCTCACACGGCACGCGCGACAGGAGAGGATCCAGACCTATATAATGCAGAACAACCGCCCATCACGGCGACTGTGCTCCCCGCTCGCTGCCTGATGCCCACTTTGCTCATGCCCTCTCCTCTTTTGCCTTTTCCCAATCTCTCTTTATTTCCCTCTCCCTCTTCCCCTCTTCTTCCTCATTTCTTCCTTTATTTCCCTTCCTCTCCCCCATTTCTCTCTTCATTTCCCCTCCCTCTTCTCTCAATATCCCCTCCTCTTCTCGATCTCCTTCTTCATTTCTTCTATTTCCACACTTCCATATAATTTTTTCCCCATTTCCGTTCACCATACCCTCCTCTTCCCATCATCTTTATTTATCCTTTATGTTTTCCTCATTTTCCCCTTTCATTCCGCAACGTCCCCATCTCCGTCTCAATCCACTAATCTACCCTATCTCACCTCTCCCCGCCCTTATCGCTTCTTCCCCTTCCCTACCTCGCCCCCCTTCCCTGCACACTCCCCACTCCCCTAGGAAATTCCCCTTTCCTTCCCTTCCCCAAACAACACACATTACCCACTTCCCTATCTTCTTACTTATTTTTCCCCTCCTCCTCTCCCCCGATCACCCTACCTTATTCTGCTTCCCTCCCCTTCCCTCCCCTCCCCTCCCCCTCCCCATCTCCTCATCCCACACGGCTGCCAAAGAATTAGAATGCTAACGCCAGGGACTCGCTTAGCTCGTTCTAGTTTTTATTAAGAGAAACAGAGCTTAGTGAAAGTCTTCAGACACCAGTAGTTGGGGGTTGTTAGGTAGGAGGGGGTAGTTGGGAGTAGTTGAGGGGGGGGGGTTAGGGATGTCGTTGAACTCCTTTCGCTTTCGTTTCTTGGACAGTTCCGCGACATTTGCCAATGTCCCGTCTTACGTAGAAAAGGTAGTCGGCTGAGAAAAGACAACAGTTCCCCGGCGGATCCCAAGACGCTTCTGATCAAATTAGGGATCTGCCTTACACTGGTCATCCACCCCAAGACCGATAACAATGTGGCGTTTCCGTTAAATCTCTGCCTTGATTTGCTGTGTCATTATCTTTCACTTTTGCACTTTACCTGGGTATTTAAATATAGTTCCAAGTTAAAGAAAACTCGAGTGTGAGTGAGTGTGAGCGTGTGTGTGTGTGTGTGTGTGTGTGTGTGTGTGTGTGTGTGTGTGTGTGTGTGTGTGTGTGTGTGTGTGTGTCTGTGTGTGTGTGTCGCGCGTGCGTGCATGTGTCTAGGTCTGCGTAGCACATCCTTAGATCATAGTTTCAAATTCTGTGAATTAAACATGTAATATAAAACACTTTCGTTGCCTTTACAAATGATATACTGATTTTTTTTTACATAAAAAAAGCCATTTGATATATAGTGTCACCTCACAGGTTGACGTACCAGCCAATAAGAAGGAACTTCGTACATCCCCTTTTACTTTGCGAGAGTACAACGTGCCAAAGCGTGGAGTGAACTATATCGAGTTTCTTTTTTCTATACAACAGACATTATGCATACAACACATATAAATGGACATCATTAATCCTACGAAGGTTTAGATGCTAAACTAATGAAGAAAGAAATAAAATACTTAAAAAAACTAATTCCTCTATTTTTAAAAAACCTGGCAAGGAGGTGAGTGACACTTAATCAGAACGCTCCTCGCCGTTCACCCATCTTGCTAGGGTACTCATTGACTCCCGCAATGAAAGGCCTGTTTTCAATTTGGCACACACAGAGCAACCAGGCAACCACAAACAGGGGTTTAGGGATGCACATGCATGCGTGAAACCACCACAATCACCTCCAACTCCACCTCCACCTTCTTCTTTCTCTATGGTCAGGGGTAAGCATACGTGAAACACGTACAGATATAAATATCTCAAATACTACACACGCATATGAAAATACATAAATATGTACGCGTACCCGCGCACGCAAGAGGACAACTATAAAGACGTAATCAGTAAAAATCTTCCATCTGTGCCTCTCTTTGCCTAACCACTCCCCCTCGGTTGCATTAAGGCTTTCGAATCTTTTGCAAAGTTTGCCCTTAGTGGATTTCCCCTAAGGACATCACTGAAGCTATCTACTGCCTATTGAACTTGCTAAACAGCAGGCATCTAATATATTGCGTTTATTGGCGACCGCACACATTAATCATATGAAGAACCTGATAATAGGTGAACCTGCCATACTGTCGTCTGGTAATAATCACAATTCAGCTTTAAAATGTAAATAGTGAATATCTGATGCAATATGCATTGTTTTACATGGCTGAATAGTGAAATGAAAATAAATGGATAGGTGGATGCAGAAACATATAGATTGTACTGTATATGCAGAAATACTATTCATACAAATATAAATACAAAGTGTGTGATTGCACATTTGACCTACAACCGAATGGTAAGGACACAATAAAAATACACCAAATACGGTCCGCTAGATGATATTCAACACACCCAGTAAGCAAACCCCACCAAAAAACGAAGAAAATACACAACCTGTAACCTTCTTGCTTGCAGGCCAGGCACTAGGTTCCCACGACACGGAGAAAAGTTGCATAATGTTGAATACTAACATTACAGACAATGACAGGACAAGACTGTGCAATATCCGTGCAGCTTAAGTTTGACCTGGAAAAAAAGAGTAGGCATGTGTGTGTGTGTGTGTGTGTGTGTGTGTGTGTGTGTGTGTGTGTGTGTGTGTGTGTGTGTGTGTGTGTGTGTGTGTGTGTGTGTGTGCGTGCGTGTACATACGTGCGTGCGTGTGATCGACAATATATTTATCCATCTCCTTAAAAGGCCCTTTGCTAAATCAAAACACATTTTGACATATATGATAATAACATCAATATTCAAGAACAGCCTCTGCCGCCCTATTTCG